CCTCTGACACTCCTCTGTGCTTCAGAGTGAGATGATAACAGATCCAGGCAGGAGACATAATGTGTAAAAAAGGGTTAAAAAGTATTCCTGCAGCTCAGTAATGATAACAAACTAATGACATTAGTGTGTGACCGAGCTGCTCCTGGAACAACAACAACAAACACATGTTCATCTGTAATGGCTGCCGTCTACCGGTGTTCTGAAAAAGTTTGTATCCCTGAAAATACGTTTCCCCACCAGAGGGGGCGCTCACGAGTAGGAAGTAATCTGCTTTTCCCCCACAAGATGGTCCAAATTTGATGTTATTTTAGCCAGAATCCTTCTGTCTCCCACCCCCTGCACTGGGTCAGGGGGGCATCCCAACACAGAGCTGGCCTTCTTCATGAGCTTAATAATAGTTTTTATCATTTCTACATCGTCTGTCCGTTTGTTTTTTGTTTTTGTTTTGTCTCTGTTGCCATCGTGTACAGTACTGGTAAATCCAGACTCTTCCCATTATGATTAGCCACGTAGCTTCTCCAGTAGATCACACAGTCAGGTGCTTTCTGCTCTCTGCAGCTCTTCTTTATACCTCCTCCATGACGTGCACCAAAATATTAGAGCAATGTTTCTAACAATGCCTTGAATCAGTCACAAAGAAAGAAAGCAAAGGCTGGTCAAACCCAGTACCATCAAGGTGGAACCAATAAACTGATTTGTTGTGATTAAAAACAAAATGAAAATAATGTTTGTAACGGTGTAAGTGCTGAATGTTGGATCAAACATTTACTTTGATTTGATTCGTTTCAGGCTGCCATACGCAAAGAGCTCAACGAGTTCAAGAGTTCAGAGATGGAGGTTCATGAAGAAAGCAAGATGTACACACGGTTAGTCTCTTTATTTACCTGCACTCTACTGCACTCTGACTGAGAATACTTTCCCCACCATTCACACTGTCCTATATGTCTGCTTTTATATATTATAGAAACTTTTTTCACATTAGTGTACTAAAGACAGACAATAGTACAGTCTGACAAATTCTCAGTCATCTTTGGCATTTGCAGTTTAATACAAAATAAAATAAAAACTTGCCGATAAAGTAAAAAAAACAAGTTTGACTTCTCAGCTTTAGCACAAAGTGAAGCTCTTTTTTATCATTTATACATTTAAAACAAAAAGTCTGAATGTTCGTTAGGCTGTAAGAGTAATAAAAGCAAGAAGTGCTGAAAAAAAGGTTATTTTCATTTAGCCTGAAGTTCTCCCATCATACACAACGTACACATTTAAACCTTTGTGTTAAAGGAAGAACAACTGTTAGGTTAGTGAAATAACTTGAAAGTGATAAAAATTAAAGAAAATTTTAAAATAATTGAACTAATGATAATCAGTCATTGTTCTTTAGTTTTGGTTCCAGGGTATCTGCGGGGTTGTAAAAAGTATTAAAAGGTAGTAAATTAAATAAGCACAAATTAAAGCCATTAAAAAGTATTAAAAGGTAATAAACACCATCTGACGTGGTATAAATTTTTAAACAACTAACACACTTTCACCATGCTGGAATCTGATGCTGCTTTGAAAACAGNATTCTGGTTTCAAAGCTTCCTGAAATATTTATTTACTGGAAACCAGAGTTTAAATGATGAAGCTGCTGGTTTTTCTCCTCATCATTTAAAGGTTCATGTGTAGCTTCAGCACACATACCTGGAGCTGGATGTGTCCCAGTCACAGTGTAAGATGACCCAGTTAACCCAGAGAGACCCCTGAGACCATCCTGTCTGTTCCAACAGAGACCTGACTCACATGGAGCCCTGTTCCACGTTAAACAAACACACAAACATGAGTGTGAGTCAGCACAAGGCAGAGCTCAGCCTTGGACCAGCTGTCTTCAGTAAAAACTGTCAGACTTCAGAAGTCTGGATAAAAACTTTCATCTTTACTTTGGCCTGAAGATGGTTTCAGGGTCAACGTGCAGAGAGAACTGTGTTTACAGAAGACAAGTCCTGGGATGTCTGAAGGTCCAGCTGCAGGACCAGAAGTCTCTTCAGCTCTTTGTTGTAAAGTTAGTTTTAGAACAAAGTCGCAGTAAATCTGTAAATGTTTAGTCTGAAGGAACCAACAGAGTCTCTGAAGCTTGATTCAAACTTTCTCCTTCTTCTCCTCCAGATTCCACCGACCCTAGCTGCTCCTGATCACTGAAGCACTTCACCTGAGAGGTGGGAGACGGCTGCAGACCACCTGCCTGCTGAGACCTGTGAGACCTGCTGAGACCTGTGAGACCTGTGAGACCTGCTGAGACCTGCTGAGACCTGCAGAGACCTGTGAGACCTGCTGAGACCTGTGAGACCTGCTGAGACCTGTGAGACCTGCTGAGACCTGTGAGACCTGCTGAGACCTGTGAGACCTGCTGAGACCAGCTGAGACCTGCTGAGACCTGCTGAGACCTGCTGAGACCTGTGAGACC